TTGAAATAGAAATGATATTCATATGAGCAGGTTATCATGGTCTATACAAACAGTGCAAAACAAAATAAAAAAAGAATACAAAAATTCATTTTATAACTTTAATGCAAAAACACAAAATAAGTAGTTCAAAAGAGTTTTTAATCATGCTTATTCATTATATCATTGAATGGGAAATAATAATAATATTAATTTTCTGAAATTATTTTCAGATGAACGTTTTTTTTTACAATACCGACTATTTGAATCGATGGAGAAAGAAAGGTCAGAGAGTCAGAAGTACTCTCCCAAGACAAGAGTATTTCTCAGCTGTTGAAATTTCCATAGAAAAACATTATCAGATTGGCGAGCTGTATTTCGAATATCTAAAATGTCCGAATGATGGTATTCAGTGTAACTGGTGTGCAAATTCTAATGAAATTGGCCCTAGACAAGATCCCATACCAAAACCTGTCCCTGGAACAATTGGGCATTATAAAAAAATTGTTGATACTCCACGGTTAAATGCAGATGGTAAACGCGGTATCATAGTCGAATTTCAACCAACAGCACAGTTGAAAAAGTTATACAATGCTGACAAAGACTTATTGAATCAGCCTGAAACAATAACCAGATTGTGTGACAAATATCTGGTTAAAGAAACATTATGTCTAGAATACTTGAAACATCTGGCTGACTTGGATCTTAGAAAAAGAAAACGGTCAGATAAAAGAAAAAAGAAAACACTGGTGACGAAACAGCACAAGGCAGTTAAAAAGGCAGACGATAATCAAAATAGGGATGAACATTATGAAAGTGAAATAAGTATTGATTACATGCAAGCTTTTAAAACTAAAGAGCCTGGTATGTAGAAATTATTGATGCAAAATTCGGACTACAATCAAATTATAAATCCATATAAAACAAATACAACTACAACATGTCCAAAAGTATTCATTTTTATACAAAATGCAGAATTGAAATAGAAATGATATTCATATGAGCAGGTTATCATGGTCTATACAAACAGTGCAAAACAAAATAAAAAAAGAATTCAAAAATTCATATTATAACTTTAATGCAAAAACACAAAATAAGTAGTTCAAAAGAGTTTTTAATCATGCTTATTCATTATATCATTGAATGGGAAATAATAATAATATTAATTTTCTGAAATTATTTTCAGATGAACAGTTTTTTTACAATACCGACTATTTGAATCGATGGAGAAAGAAAGGTCAGAGCGTCAGAAGTACTCTCCCAAGACAAGAGTATTTCTCAGCTGTTGAAATTCCATAGAAAAACATTATCAGATTGGCGAGTTGTATTTCGAATATCTAAAATGTCCGAATGATGGTATTCAGTGTAACTGGTGTGCAAATTCTATTGAAATTGGCCCTAGACAAGATCCCATACCAAAACCTGTCCCTGGAACAATTGGGCATTATAAAAAAATTGTTGATACTCCACGGTTAAATGCAGATGGTAAACGCGGTATCCCAGACGAATTTCAACCAACAGCACAGTTGAAAAAGTTATACAATGCTGACAAAGACTTATTGAATCAGCCTGAAACAATAACCAGATTGTGTGACAAATATCTGGTTAAAGAAACATTATGTCTAGAATACTTGAAACATCTGGCTGACTTGGATCTTAGAAAAAGAAAACGGTCAGATAAAAGAAAAAAGAAAACACTGGTGACGAAACAGCACAAGGCAGTTAAAAAGGCAGACGATAATCAAAATAGGGATGAACATTATGAAAGTGAAATAAGTATTGATGATGACAATGATGATGGGATAATAGAAGAGATAGATGGATCTGAATTTAGTGACGAAAGTGATAGCAGTGATGATGAAGTTATTATATGCAAATCAAAGGACACGGTATCCAATGACAATAATGAACATAACAAGATTACTTATGTTACAAAGTATGGAAGGAAAGTAACAAAATTTCAATTTGAATTAGTTGTGAGATTCATTTGGATCATTAAAATGTGTCCTTGACTGTTTACTTGCCTTATCTCTATTAAATGAAACATTTGTGAACTTTTGAATCTTCAAGCATATCCTACATATAATGTGTGTCAAAGGTAAGTGTTTTGCATGTTAAAATTTTGACATGTTTAATAGATGGGGGATCACATTTTTTAATGTTTTTAAGGGGGGGATAAAAAAAAATAGTCAAATATCATGGGGGATCAAGAAAATGTTATATGTTTGATTTCAAAATGAACAGCCCCCCTCCCAGGTAAATAATGATAAGTCCCTAATCGATAATATACATTTGATGAGACCGTTATTCTTTATTCATTTTTGATGACAATGATGGTATCCGTTTAGTTTCAACAAAGTTTGTTATATAAAAATAAGATGATGTGGTTTGATTGACAATTCGACAACTTTTCACCCGAGACCAAATCACATAAAAGAGAAAATATTTATGTTACCATGGTATACCAAAGATACATTGAGGTCTGCTTCATTCCTTGACCTGCACATAGACCCAAAGATTGCTTCCCTTTTTCGTTAAAAACTTTCCATTTTTATGTAGATATGATGACTTATGTAATCTTTATGGAAGGTGTAGGTGACAGATGAAATAGAATACGTTCTATTGATGTAATAACAAACTGTTTGCCTTAAAGATTTCCTCGTCATTAAATATAACTGTCGTCAATTTTTCTATGTTTGTATCATCCGTAGTAAGAAGGGCGTTATTAGTATGTATTATAAATCTATAAAACATCTTAAAGTCCAACCCTGTCATTATTCAACTACCTAAAACAGAAGAAAGAAGTGCAGTGTAAATTAAGGAATGAGTTTAAAACGTAAAGTACATTATTTGATGACCATGAATTCCAGATTAATCGTACTTCCAAGAACACTGTTAAATGGAATCAGGCCACCTCTTTTCGAAGAAAACTATTATGCAGTATTTTATAAATAGAAAAAAGATTGTCATATTGTCCTCGATTAAAGTAACATTTCAAAATACGGTTCATACTGCTTAAATAACAATAGATTTTTTTTCATTTTGGCCCTAAACATATTTTTCATTAACTTCGGGTTCTGTTGAACAAATGATTTCACCGTCATTCTTTATACACAGTTGAAGACAATTATCTTATCCGTTTACTTTCAACAAAGTTTGTTATATATATAGAAATAAGATGATGTGGTATGGTTGCCAATTCGACAAATTTTCACCGGAGACCAAATCACATTAAAGAGAACATATTAATGGTACCGTAGACCCTTTTTGCCTTAAAGATTTCCTCATCATTGAATATTACTGTAATCAATTTTTCTATGTTTGTACCATCCGTAGTAAGAAGGGCGTTATTAGTATGTATTATAAATATATAAAACATCTTAAAGTCCAACCCTGTCATTATTTAACTACCTACAACAGAAGAAAGAAGTGCAGTGTAACTTAAGGAATGAGTTTAAAACGTAAAGTACATTATTTGATGACCATGAATTCCAGATTAATCGTACTTCCAAGAACACTGTTAAATAGAACCAGGCCACCTTTTTTCGAAGAAAACTATTATGCAGTATTTTATAAATAGAACAAAGATTGTCATATTGTCCTCGATTAAAGTTATGTTACCATTTCATTGAGTTGTTTGATTTAACGCGTTGTATACAGGACTTTAAAACATTATGTTTAAAGGGTCTACCAATAAAAGTTCACATTATCACTGGTAACGACAGTAAATACACACATAATATAGAATAGAACGTCGTATTCTACATTTCAAAATATGGTTCATAGTACTGAAACAACAATGTATTTCTTCATTTTTGCCCTTAAAATACTTTTCATTAACTTCAGGTTCTGTTGAACAAATGATGTCACCGTAATCGATTTGATGACAATGGTCGTATCCATTAAATTTTAACAAAGTTTGTTATACATATAAAAATAAGATGATGTGGTATGATTAACAATTCGACAACTTTTCAACAGAGACCAAATCACATAAAATAAAACATATTTATGTTACTGTAGGACCTGCAACACTCAAACGTCATGGTATACCAAAGATACAAGGAAGTCTGCTTTATTCCTTGACCTGCACATAGACCCAAAGATTGCTTCCCCTTTTTTGTCAAAAACTCTCCATTTTTATGTGGATATGATGACTTGTGGCACTTTTGCGGAATATTTAGGTGACAGATGACATAGAGTACGTTCAATTGATGTAATAACAAGCCGTGTTGTCTTAACAGTTTCCTCATCATTAAATATTACTATCTTCAATTTTCAGTGTTTGTATCATACATACAAAGGAGGGCGCTATTAACAGACCAAATGGAGGATTTATTTGTTTGTCGAGTTGTACATGATTTTGTTTTGCTCAATCTTTTGCTTATGTTTAAATCTGTGTTTGCTATCGCTTCTCAACATATCATATTTTCTTAGTAAATTTATTTTTTTGTTTGTTCGTCTCTGACTTATGACTTCGTATGACATATTTGTATTTTCTTTCCATCGAAACTTAAGATAAAGTGGATCCAAACGAGTGTCATCTTTTCCCAATTTAACAAAATAAATACGCCAAAAATAGAGTTTACAATTTCTAACAAATACTTTAATCTCCCTAAACATTCAAAGTATTTAATCACAAACCCTACATGAACATCGATATACCTTAAGTGCATTTAATTATTCATAAGATTGTTTATACTTGTTCGTGGAATGTATTAAGAAATACATGCATTTATCGAGATATTTATCCTAACTGTTTTCAATTGTTTGGTATAAGGATATAGCTTGTTCGAGGATTTGTGTATCTTTCCATTCAACTGACTGTTTTCTTTCATTAGCAAAATTGTGTTTGGAGACTGATCTTTCTTGCACTAGAACTCGTCTACACAAATTAATCTTTGATCAGCTGATTGTAAAGTGTGACAAAGAATTTACAAGAAATCCGTTCCTTGATCCAATCAAACCATTCAAAAAATATTATAAATAATTTTAAAGCATGCAACCGTAGCATTTGGAGTATAAATGGAGAGAAATTCATGATCAGTTTACATATTTGGTTTTTAGTTTAACGCAAGAGAAAGTAAAAAGTGATACATTCTGAGGTAAGTTAAAAGTAGTAATAGGATATACAATTTGTTTGCTTACAATTCATCAAAAATATATAATGAAAATACCATGATATGATTACTTTACCTTTAGTTGTTTGACTGTTTTGCGGGCCCACTTGCTATCTCTTTCACGTGAATGTAGCTTTGCATGATAGAGAAAATAAGATGACGACAAGAATTTTGTCTCTACCAGCCATTATTTTGTTGAGTTTCACGAAATCCTCAAACTATTTTATAATAACTGGTGCACAATTTCAACGTAAGTATAATCATTCTGATAAGTTTCATCGATCTGGGTAGTTGATTACCCAAAACTGGAAACGTCTGAATTTTTGTCAGTGAATTTTTGTCCTGTGACTTTCTGTCCTACATTCGGATCTGTCGTAGAGTTGTCACTTGTTTAGACGTACTGATCAAAAAAAAATGTTGCTGTGGAAAATTTAGAAAAAACAAGTTCTGAAGTCTGGAGAAATGGGAAAATTACCTGAAACAATATTATAATAGCAGGTGCCAACTAAAGCATGTGCGTAGTTTTTTGTAAAGTTTCATGTATTTGGGCTAAGAACTGTAGACGGAGTTGATTACAAAAATAAGATACCTAACTTTTCCCGTCAGATCTTCTGACATAAAAATACTATAATCAGGTTTAGGACTTCATCCAACCTAGCTACAAATCATGGACAATATATATTTACATTACATTTTCCTGACCATATTAGTATTTGGACCATACATGTATGGTCATAATCATTTGAGTATTTGAACGGGCTGGACAATATTTATATTTAGACCATATCAATAGTTATCGAATAAATAATTACAAAGGTCGTTCTCCTAACCGAGTTCGGCTCAAGTTACATTTACTGTGTATAATATGTGTTTTCAACCGTGTATCACCTTCACTGGTAATCAATTGGATGGATCTGTCGGTAAACCTACAGAAAGTCACAGGACAAATATTCACAAGACATAAAGTCACAAATTTGATAGTACAAAAAGTCACAAATAATTTGTTTCCAATTGTTCGAATATATGAGATAAAGATCTTGAAATTTTTTCTTTTTATTACATATATTCATTCTTTAGTTTATTCAATTGTTCATAAACCTTGATTAATGAAAATTTATTTAATTTTGATCATGCAAATGATATGTTTATTGACATCATGAAGCCATTTAAGTACCAAGCCACTTTGACATTTTCTTTTCACAACAATTATTTGATCATTATTGATATTTATTGAATAAATTTCGATAACAAAGTTGCTATATATATAATAGTTCAAGAAAAAAAAACAAAAAAATCTTTTTAAAATTAGTGTTTTCATGTTCAAAGAAAAATAATATCAAAACTGAATTGTGACTTTTTGTCCTGTCACTTTTAGTCAGAGAATTTTTGTCAGTGAATTTTTGTCCTGTGACTTTCTGTCCTACATTCGGATCTGTCGTAGAGTTGTCACTTGTTTAGACGTACTGATCAAAAAAATTCGTAAGGGTTCCGCGGAACCCAGTGTCTCGCCTACTTTTGCTCTTAATCGCAGGCTCAACAAAAACGAGGAAAAAAATTAATAAAAATATTCCTTTCTATACCATCTTTTGATTGTAAGTAGCTTCTGTCCAAGTTTGGTACAAATCCAGGATAGTTTATGAATCTAATAAATGTTTTAAAAACTTAAACTGCAGACTGTATGTAATGTTAACTGGAAGAAAAACTAAGTCCATTTATAAGTAAAATACGGAAAAAATTGAACAAAATGTTAACAAAATGTCCTTCTAGATACTAGCTTTTAATCATAAACAAGCTTCTTTCCAAGTTTGGTAGAAATCCAGGATAGTTTAAGAAAGTTATTAAAATTTCAAAAACTTTAACCACAGAGTGAATGTAATGTTTCTTGGCAGAAAAACTAAGTCCATTTATAAGTAAAATACAGAAAAAATGGAATTTTTTTTTTACAAAATTTACTTTTGAATATTATCTTATGATCATAAACAAGCTTCTGTCCAAGTTTGGTAGAAATCCAGGATAGTTTAAGAAAGTTATTAAAATTTCAAAAACTTTAACCACAGAGTGAATATTTGTGGACGCCGCCGACGACGACGACGACGACGACGACGACGCCGACGGAATGTAGGATCGCTATGTCTCGCTTTTTCGACAAAAGTCGAAGGCTCGACAATAATAAGTGAAACCCTACCATCACTTGTTTCCAATAACTCAGACTTAAGTACAGGACGCTTACAGTTTTCAGGAATTCTTTCCTCATCTCAAACATCATTATTGAAAAAAAATTCACGGTTTTTCTATTCGTGATAATTTGTATAACGATCAAGATTATAATTTCAGTTTGACCACCACATGTCAAGATAAGAATCATTTTACATCTTACTGATGAAGGATATTAGTTATCCGAAATATTTAACATTTGTTTATGATTTTATATTTTTTTTATAAAAATGGATATTATAATTTCACGCAATTTTTCGCTACACAAACTAGTTTTATCGGGCGCGTACAGCCATCCAGGTAAAATTGGATGCTGTTAAGAAAATTTTGCAGCTTAGCATTGATGAACTTAAAATATATTTTTGCAGCTTATCGTACATGTCCTTTAAATATATTTTTGCAGCTTATTGTACATTGCGATTATCAAATCAAAACAGATAGTTGTGTTAGTTAAATAGTATGAAGTTCAATATTTATTTCTTTGGTTTTTGATAAATAGATATAAGAAGATGTGGTATGAGTGCCAATGAGACAACTCTCCATCCAAGTCAAAATTTATAAAAGTAAACTGTTGTTTATTTCTCTCATTTAGTCCGTGAGGTTCAAGGGTTCGTAGCTGATGCAGCCAAAATGTTCTCTCTGTTTTCTACTTTAGGTGTCACAATTTGACTTGTATTATTTGAAAGTTGATATTTTCAAAAGTATGTCCTATTCGTAAGAGGTATCGTGTGATTTGGTAGTTTCTTCCTTTAGTATAAAATTACCGGTGATTATTGAGTCTGATGTTGCATATAACTTCTGTTTCACCAACATATTGCTGCTTGCAAGTTCCACAAGTAAGAATATAAATACTATTTTCCGTTTTACAATTAGATATTACATAGATGTTGTATCGCTGCTTTATTACTGTGAAAAAAGTTGACAGATGAAATATTTGTCAAATCGGGATGGACGGTGTAAACAAAAATGTATATGTACAAGTATAAGATAAACATTTTGTCTGTTATTTAGTTCTTTTAGTCTAACTTGTATTATTGCATTTCTGTTTTAAGAAACGAACCATTGACAACTAAATTTACCTTATTTATATTTATATTTGCATCTAGGAAAGGCGTGTATTTCATTGCACATTATTTTGATAAAACACAATGGAAGATAATAATTTGATCAAGGTAGTTGTGAGTGAGAAATATCCTACAGTAAGTATTTTACATATCTACATATTGACAGCAAAGGCTTAATGCTAATTTGTTATGTTCCTATTTTCTTCTTCTTGTTCTTTATTTGTTTGATGAAAATATAGTCTTGTTGTTCGTGTCGTTGTATTGTTGTGTTATTGACGAATATTCTTCGATGAGGGTTTCACATATCCAATGAAAAAAACTTACTTTGATGTTGATTCAGTTGCTCAAAATATTTACGCTAAAACAAGTATACAGATAACAATGGTATTGAAGGGGCACTAGCTACGAGATATGAAAAAACAAATAGAATATGATTTTTGTATGGAGCAATCATTAATAAAAGTGAAATAATGAAACAACAATTCGCTTTTACCAACTATTTTGGTTGAATTTTGTCCAAGTAAGCAAAGAAACGTTACTGATAACTTTTCACTTGCAAGTGAATAATTCGACCTCATTGATCCGTATTCATCTGACCTTCAATTTAACCCATGAGCTAGAGATTTGCTGCGCATGTATTAGTCGTATTCATCCATTAAAATGAAAAGAATGTCAACATTAAAAGTGAAACAAAGGTTAACCATTTCGTTGACTGATTCGATTCACAAGAAATCCTACTTATACATGTGCAAACGCAAATTAACTTATTCTTTCAACCTATAACATAAAATCAAACAGACCTAGAAAAATCCAATTGCACGAGGTCGCTTTCTATTACAATTTATGTTTATGTTTATATCGGGGTATGTGCCCGTCGGCAGTCTTCGAGTTCATCTCGATAGTTTATTAGGTGGCGTCTAGACTAAAATACATACGAATTTATGTTATATATTACAGAGTACATGCATTATTAACTGTTTATTTCAGACTTATTGTAATTTGGATACATGTTTTAGTATGTTATAAATCGAATATGAGAAAGTGTGTCAAATCGGTGAACATGAATTTGACAGCTAATGCCCCTTTAATTAAGTCTTATCTAATATTGAAAATTCATAGACTCAACGGCAAAGATTGTCACAAAAGCAAGTGAAGTATAAACTAATTATCCGAAGTGTACCATATAATGGACATGACTTGTTGAATGTACCAGGTCGAAATCTATAAAAAGAAAAAGATATTGTGCAAACATACAGCATGTACAGTATACGATAATTTGCATTTCATAATGATTAATATTTGTCTGAATGTTTTAGAATACTTTAGCCTATACTATATTTGTTTTACAGAAAACAGCCATTAAGAAAGAGAAACATCATACAAAAATTACGAGTTTTCAAGAGCTGATAGACAATGCTAGAAATTTATCCCATGTAAGAGTGAAACGGGAGTCGCCTTTTGTGGGAGAATATTTCCATCATTATATAATAATAGCAATTTCAAAGGTAGAACCACGTGTATATAGTATTATTGTTGGACATTACACAACAACCCTTGCTATTTTCACAGAGAGGAGTCACGGAGTTGGAAAATTTGTAAAAGAAACGTTCTTTATACGTTTAGATGGTCAGAATGAAGATCCGCATGACCTTTTTAGATTTGACTTGGGGGTTGAGTTAGTTGAGGATACTAACTATCCGAAAACTGCTGATGACATTGAACATGTTATCAATCGTCTAGATGAGAGAATTGGAGAGCGAATGTATGAAATATCTTCAAACAATTGTGAGCATGCAATTAATTATATCCTAACTGGTGTAAGTTTAAGTGAGCAAGCTGACACCATCAAATGTTCCAAAGCATTTTTCATTGATTTTTTGAATGTTTTACTCATCGACTGTAAGGAGGTCGGATTTAGAACGGCCTTATTTGTTGCCGCAATAGGAGCTATTGCTGGTGCATTTGTTCGTAGAGCGTATGTCACGATAATTGTTGCAGCAATTGTTAGCCTCACCATTGGAAATGAACCAATTGATTGTGGGAACAGGATTGGTGCAAACATTAGAACTGAAGCAGAAACCAGAATAAAGTCAGCAGAAAATATGAAATATATCAATTATGTTGTTGCAAACAATAGTATTGATACTCTCGTAAAATTGAAGGGTCAGTTGCATACAGACTTTATATGCGCACTTGCAAAAACTCTTATCAGGGATGCGGCTCGCAAGACATGTTATTCTACTGCTTTGGTTTATGTAGGAATCGAAACTATTTTTTTTTTGTCCTTCGTATTCTTCAATTTACTTCCCAGAAGAAAAAAACAAATACTAAAAGACAGAAACCTTTGTCGGATTTTGTTTTTGAACATCGTTGCAGGATACGGTTCGATACTGCTGACCCTATGCATTGCTTATCGAGCATTTTTTCACGTAGAACGCCCATCCCTGTCCATCTTCTTAACTGTTTTTTTAGGTGGCATCGGATTCCGTTATATACTGATATGCATTGCCGGACAGTTTTACAATTTCTGCTGCTGTGCGTTTTGCTGGAATTGTTACTGTTGCTGCTCGACAGGTTGTGTTACATTTTGTAACAAAGAATGCTGCTGGTTCAGGTTGATCACTATATCCTTCATTATTCTTGTTTTATGTATTCTTGGGATTCTGATATATCTATTGCTAACTTTTGCCTGGGCTGATTTGCAATGAAGAGTTCGCAGCACTAAAAGCCAACAGACTAGTATTACTAGTAGATGAACCATTAAACCAGGTATCAATAAAATCACAATTAAGATTGATCGGCCAAAAAGTAATTAAACTTATTTAAAAAAAGATTACTGAATATTTAAATAGATTTACAAAAACAATAAACTTTTTTTTCAATATTACGCAAACAACAATCAATTTCAAGGAAATCCCTCACAAAAAGACCTGATCTCCAATGTCATTGAAATGAACCAATTAGAAAATTATTCATTCTCTTACTTATAAAAATGTATCAATATCAAAAGGTTTTTTTTTTTTTTTATTTATCCGGAAAATAAAAATTCTGTAGAGCTCAAATACAAGTATACCTGATACCAAATATATAAATTGATAATTTTGCATGACTATTTAAATCAATAAAATAAATTCATATCATTTCAATTTATTCATGAAGTGGATCATGAATACATCTCGATGTCAACGTGCAACAGTAATGATAAAAACTTATCAGTATTCAAACTGACAGATACGTATTCAGATGACCTCTCATGTCTCACAGGTAGTAATACTTTAACTACGATATTTCTCAAACAAAACATTTGTCATATGTAAACTTGAATTTAAATTCATTTTTTCAAGTTAACGGTAAAGCTTCAATCTTTCAGGTTTCCAGGTTCATGTTTTTCATATCAACTTTGAAATGTTTTGTCTTCTCGGAAAAGGGGGTGATGCTGTTACCCCTCCCCATCCCCATCCCCATCCCCCAATTTTATCTAATTTAGAATTAAAAAAGGTAGACATTTTTATATATTGGTTGGGTTTTGAGTGGTGTGTTTAAAAAGTGGAATACCAAAGTGTCAAAAGAGGAATAATTGGGGACATCCGGGAACACCAAGAACGATGACAGGACTTTTCATAAAATATGTGTTTGGAACTTTATTGAGTTTGACTGTCCCTCTGGTATCTTTCGTCCCTCTTTTATTGACCTTTTCATATATTTCTGATAGTTTCACTACCTATTCACATATTTTCAAGGTGGTAAAGCGGCACCACGTATAACGAAAGTGCCCCCTCCGAGATTGTCTTGACACTTTTAACTTGCAGTCCTGCGAACGTACAGTTCATTCGTCAATTTACCTGAAAATACATAAATCATTTCCTATTTCTAAACACCAATGATAGCACTAACTAGTACATTTGAATTAATAGAAATCTAACATTTATGTCACATGAACTTTACTAGTGTTTTCAAATCCTAACATATCCCAAACGTATGAAAGAAATTCATAGTCAGTGCCATGATAATAAAAAAGATTACTGAATATCAAATAAGATTTTAACAAATAATAAACTTTTTTCAGTGTACTGCAATCCATTTCAAATTATTTTAATGCCAGTCAAATAGATTCCCTGGTAGTCATTTAAGTCAGACTAATAAGCCACGCCCCCGTTAAACAACATCAAACTGGTACGAGTCCTTCTAAACTTTACAGTGTCTGCTTTTGTTTCGTAAATCACTCAAACAGAAAAGAAATCCGTTTATCAATCGTCAATCCGTACCAAACGTTATAGATTTATGTTACATAATATACCTCCCACAGGTATTCACAATTAAAATGAATGAATCATCCAACTTATTTTTGCAATGAATTCCGCTCAAGCCGATGCTAATGGCTGTATTTAACCTGCACTGCGGTGAAAGATTTTTGGCTGCGTGTTGATGTGACTTTGAAATTGAGAACAGCAGTAAAAGCGCTATTCTTTTGCTTTTTATATGTTTTTTACTGTGCATGTACTGATTTTGTGTCATGAGTATTTGAAGTGATTTATAATTTTTAATGACAGATTTCTGTAATGCAGAAAAAAGTGAATCAGTTGAATATAAAGACAGATAATAAAATTCTGATTAGTCCACATGAAGTAGCTCTAGATAAGAAAGAGTGTTGATAACTGATATGAAAACTTGTGTCGTGTCATTAAAGTAATTGTGGTTTCTCACAATAATTGCGAAAAATTAAACGGTCTTAATTGCAAGCCTAAGAATTGTGAAAGATTGAAAAAAAATCAAATAGATATTTACAGAATAAAACATATTTGTCAATCTGTTACTCTTTTTGATGGTGTAATTATTATTCAAATGTATGTTCAAGCTTGAATTGTTTTAACTTTTTTTTTGTGCTTCAAATTTATGTGTATATATTGACTTTTTTCCTTGTTTGTTAAAATTTTAATAAAAACATTGGTTGTGAAAATGTTCAAAATATTGAAGTTGTTGATTTTATTCCATAAACAGTTCAGTCTTGTTGGAAGTTATAAATAAATAAACATTGAAATTAATTAACTTTCAAATCTGTTTAATACAAAAATAAGAGGATGTGGTATAATGCTGTTGAGACAACTCTCTACTAGAGACCAAAAGACAAAGAAGTAAATAACTATAGGTTACTGTACGGCCTTAAACAATGAGTAAACCTGTACTGTGATATTTGAAACCGGTGCAAAGTGTTTTCACATCGAAAAAGGCGGATAATATCAATTTGGAACTTTTAAAAAATGAATAAAATTGAGAATGAAAATAGGAAACGTGTCAAAGAGACAACAACCCGACCAAAGAACAGAAAACAGTCCAAGGCCACCAATGGGTCTTCAACACAGAGTGAAAATCCACACCCGGAGTCGGGCTTCAGATGGCCCCTAAACAGAAATGTGTACTAGTTCAATGAAAATTGACGTTACACTAAACTCCAAAACATATAAGTTACTCACACGCCAGCTCCAGACCTCAATGAAACTGATTGAAATATTATGTTTTCATCGTATGGAAATCAAGCACAATCCTTCCCGTTAGGGGTTTAATATCATACCATCATAAAAAAAATATGAGAAGAACTTAACCCTATCATGCCAACAACTGGTTTTAGAATAAATGTGTTTATTTCCGATGCAAAGACCCTGTGAGTGAATCAAAATTAAAACCATTAATATGCCATTTTTAATGACCTGACAACAGTATCGTAACTATATCCTTTCTGAATAAGTCTGTTTAAAGGTTTGGTTAGCTTTTGCGGTGAATGCCGACATTTTTGTGCTTTGTTTAAAATATCACCATAAAAGATTGGATGTGAAATACCTGAACGTATAAGATGTCTCCATGTTGATTTATATTTACGAATGATGTCCTTTACCCGATGACACAATTTAGTAAATGTTTTGACTAGTTTGTGATATCGAAAACCATGGTGTAACAAGCTTTCAGTAGTACAGTGATGTCGTTCGTTCAAATCAAATACGTTGTTACATACAACATCGAATCGAACAAGTTAAGATATATAAACACCATAAGATGGTAACAAGGGAACGTCACCATCTAAAAATGGATAATTACCAATAGGAAATGAAATGAAAAATCATCTCTTTTATCGTAAATTTTGGTATGAATTAGCTTCCGTTAAAGGGCAGTTATTGTATCAAAGCCGGTCCAATTGACATAGTTCATTATTTGTTGTTACTAAAAATCACCTGAAAGAGTTTGAACATATATATTCGCATTCTGACCTTTTAAATGCTCATTTAATTAGGTGTGTGATTCTTTTCTTAATGAGACTATGAGACAAAGGGGTATATAGGGTATAAAAATCAAAACTTTGAACAGATTTGAAATCCCAGTTATAAGCATGCAATTTATTAAGTACTTCCAACAATGCCACTCCAAAATTAATTAATTCAACTGTTTCCAAAGACCTTATTTAAACAATTTATTACCAGGTTTTTTATTGTTCCAAGTGTACTAGTAGAGTAGACAGTTTAGTAGTGGAACAATGGTTTGAAGACGAAATAAATCTATATTTGTAAGGTTTTTTGTGCAGCTTCGGAAGCCAGTACATAGTTGGAACTTTCATTGTATTTAGTTATGCTTGTAAAGAGGTAGCTAAATAAAGGCAACAGTAGTATACCCGTGTTCAACTATAAGAGGAAAACAGAGAAACAACAGGAGCACTGAAGTGCAACATAAACAAACGCCAACATACATAGGAACGAACTATTTGAAATTTTATATAAATGTTAAGTTTGTTACTGATGTCATTTTCCGAAAATGGAGTCAGTTGGAATGTTGGTGAATTCGTGATCTCCTTTTGCAGAACCACAATGTAAAATTTACGTCAAACAATAATGATATTATTAGCAGCCTTATCAGCCGGGATAAAAACAAATTCCTTGGCGAGTTCTTTTAGCTTATGTTTGACACGAGAAATAGGGTTATTATGGTTGTTTTTAGTAGTCAAATATTCTTTAAACTGTTTTAAAATATCAACTATGCTCATTTCTGAATTAAAAAAAGAATTTAAGGATTTTTTTTCAACTTTTTCTCGTTATTTATCCACTTCGAGCAGTAAGTACGGAGAGAGTCGTGGATGCTGTTATGACACCTATTCCAATTATTAATTGACGAGGAACGATATTTAGGTCATTTTACTGAGGAATGATTTCAACTCTCCGTCATGAAAGATGTTAAGGTCTCCTGTTACAACATGGGAACTGGGGCCATAAATGTATTCGGAATTACTGCAATTTTATGACGTAGGTGTATTGTCACTGATATTAACATCTTCACATACTTCGCTATAAATAAACACATATTTCCGGGTAGATTTTTTATAATCACAACAAATAAGAGGGAGTTCAGTATTATCACAATAGCCAGGAACTTGTTCTTCAACAGAATGATCCTTTAAAATACCGGCAATATTTACAAAATCAAACCCTTTATTGACATATTTGATTTAATAAAATGTTTTTTTATGATCTTTGGGGCGATCAATTTCGGGAAACAGTTTAAAATAACAATATGCATTTATAATATGGACGATTTCATACTTAAGACTGCAATATGGAATTGTATTGCAATCCTCTAAAATTTGATGTTATTTGTTAACAGGTAACGAACAGAGCTTGGTTAACAGACAATGTCTGCCGTTGTTTTTTTAAATAGTAATTATGCCCGAAATATTTGTTTTGTTGGTACGAAATTTTCTCTGATTGCGATTTATTCTACGCCCATGAGAACATTTTTACGAACAGTTTTAGAAACTATATCCAAAATGTTAACATAATCAGTTCTTGATTTATTACCAATTCTCTTGATATTATCATTAAGACCGAGAGGATAGACTGTCTGTAATTTTTTAATCCAATTTAAATTCAATTATTTTCCGTGATCGTAAAACTTTGAATAAGATTCCCCAGGCTGCTTATTTACTACTTCTAAAGGTTGAACTGTTAAATATTCAATAGGATGATTGTGCGTCTTAAGGTGTTGATAAATGATACTTTCAAATTTATGGGGTTTTCTAAAACAAAACACAAAAAAAACTGGTTTTGCGTGCGTTAATAATAAAAATAGCGTACTGAATACCGCATCCCGGTTTGTTTCATGTGAGTAAATTGAAAATACTGTTTGTTTTTCAATGTTTCAATTTATATCAGTTTCAAAATTTAAAGAAATATGTGCGATCATTAAAAGTGGACCATATTGTATTGTTGGTGGAAAGACGGGGACATGTAAGTCATGTTTTGGCACGAAACTTAACGATAGAAGGGTAACCACAATTTTTATTATTAAAAACGTTAGCGATTGTAGCATTTTTAGATAACCGATTTTGAAGATTGAGACGTGTAGATACCTTTTGAACGAGATTGTTTTTTAGTATTTTTTTATTTCTGAGTTTCAGTTTTTGTTATCCGTATTTCCAATTTAAAGGAGCGTATAGACTGCCATCCAGAATATGAACCAGCACACAAGAATTTGAAAAAAGTATAACGATAAAACTGTTCGGCAAAAGACTTCAAACGCTATCCGTCATCAAGTACCTGACAAAATACAAAACCAGCGGACAAAAACAAATGAAAAGGTATATCAAGGTAGCGCCTAACGTCTGACTAAATAGTATAATGGGGCTTAATAGTGAAATATGAGTTTTAGATAAATACAAAGGAATACATAGAGATATAAACATATAGAAGTTTGATTCATTTTAGACGAACTGAATATGCTTGATAATTGTCACTAGACGTTACGTAAACAACAATCTATTGAAAGGAAGCCCTTCACAACTTTAACTAGGAGGATTCTCAAACAAACAAAAAGTGTCATATGTAAACTTGAATTCAAAATCCTTATTAATTGATTTATGTAAGTCAATACAACCTGCACGTGATGATTATATATGATTAAAAATCCTTTATATTTCCAGGTTCATGTTTTTCGTATCAACTTTGAAATGTTTTTTTTTTCTCACGGGGATGCTGGGGTTCTATTTCCCAACCATTTTCACATAATTTAGATTAATATAACATGTATTGGGAACTTTATTGAACTTTTCATATATTTCTGATACCTATTCACATATTTTGAAGGTGGAAAATGTGACATATTCCAGCGGTACCTTGAAAACAGGACCCCCCCCCCCCCCCCCCCCCCCCCGAACTGTTTTGACACTTTTTTCTAACAGTCTTGCGAACTTTACAGTTCATTCGTCAATTTACGTCAAAACAAAGACTTACGAGAAACCACTTCAGACTGTACCTCAACATGGCGAGTGAAAATTTGCTTCCTAGCAATATACAACTGCCTCAAAGAACTTATTAAGTAAGCAAAATCAAACCACCTGGAAATCAGTACAGGTTGATGAAATAGTTGTATTATTATTTATGCTGATATATACACATACGTTAACTTAGGCCCCCGTCACACTAAACCACGATCGCACCACGCTCACCGCGATCAAAAATAAATTCAGATCGTGGTGAGGTCGCGGTATGAGCGGCATGAAAATGTAAATTTTCGTTGTTTTCACGATGTCATTACGTCCTCATTACGTTTCTACAACGATCCCGCTACGATTATACCACGTTCTCACCACGCTTATTCAACGACTATCACTACGATTATCACGATCTTACTACGCTCATCATGTTCTCACTACGACCACACCACGATTTGTCGATTGCAACACGATCTTACCACGCTTCTACTGCGATTATAGCACGCTCTTGCCACTATCATACTACGATCATACCGTCTTCATACCGCGATCTTACAACGCTCTCAGCAAGAACGTCAACATCGTGTTCCATATAAATACTGTTCCATTTATTTTTAGAGGAAGAAATATAAAACCTTTAAAATGTTCCACTTCCAAAGCAATAGTTCCAAAAGTATCGTCTGTGGCATAAAATATTAAATGTTTTTTAGTATTTAGATTC